CAATATTCATATAAAATATTAAATTTATATTATTTACACAATTCTTTATATCTCACATCAAAAAATATACCTCAAACCAAAACACTAAGAAACAAATCCTAAAACTTTTATTTAGACAATTTTTTTAAAAAAAAAAATTGGAAGTTTTAAAAATTTTGATAAATAATACTCGCACCGTCTCACCTACCATATCCACATTACCGTTTCTGTTTGTCCCACATCTCATATCACTTTTTTTTAAAAATTTGTCACGCACCTTAATCTCATTTTAAATTTTTTAATTTATAATTATTTATACTATAAAATACTTATTTTTACTAATACATCTTTAATTATTTATTAATTATATTTATTTTAAATTTCTGTGTACAGTGATCCGGACACTTAGATGGGATGAAATGAGTATCTTTTAAAATGTGTGTCTCTTTAGGGCACCCACAACCGGGTACCCCACCCCGGGTTCTTTCCCAATCCCTTTTTTGTATCACATCACCTTCTTTCTCCTCCACGACACGTAGTACCCAATTAAATTTTACACTTATATTAAAGAACCCCTAAAATCTCTATATTTTCCATATCATTGAATATTTCATATATTTAAAACAGAAATTTATATTTTTTTTCATCATATTTTATTCTTGTAATATTTAATAAAAATAAAATTATTATATTTTATTAATTAAATGATTAAAAAATAATGTATGATATTTACATAGTAATTAAATTCCAAAATTCAAATTTAATAAAAAAATATATAATATTACAATATATTTTTCAAATAAATTAATTAGTCAATGGAGAATATAGCCGTTGTGGAATATAGTCGTTAGGGAACATTGTCGTTGGGAAATATAGCCGTTAGGGAATATAGTCGTTGGAGAATGTAATCGTTGGTGAATTTAGCCGTTGCAATGTTTATTGTAAATACACCACATTCTCACTTCATGTCTCTCACACTATCTTTACATTTTCTTCTCTCTATAGTTGCTTCTAAATTTTGCAATTCCTACACTTATCTATACGTATGGATCCGAATTCTCAAAATTCATCCAACTCTCAAGATCCTCAAAATCCTTTTCAGTTTCCTAGTTTTATGAACATGTTAGAAAATCAACATATGTTCCCTACATCCAATGCCCATTTTAAACCATTCAATCATTTACCATATTATTAAATTTCTCCAAACTTCTAACCTCCAAACTTTCAAGCATTTGAAAGTTCATCATCTCCTCAATTTTCATGATGCAAGCCATACAAAAAATGTACGCCCTTCAACATAACACACCTATTAATTTAGCAGATGACGATGTGTCTGACAACACAAGAAGTAATGATACGAGGAAGCTGTGGAGCTAGATCGAAGACCAACCTCTGGTCCGTGGATGGCTAAACACTAGTAAAGATGTTATAACCAACACTGACCAACCAAGTACTACTTTCTGGAAAAGAATTGCATCATATTACATGATGAACAAGCCTGAAAGCGCAACGAGCAAAAGTTTTACTCAATGTAAAAGTTGTTGGAGTAAGATATGTAAGTGCGTCCAAGAGTTTATTGGGGGTTATGAGTAAGCTACTAGAAACATACGCAGTGGGCAATCAACCACGGATGTCTTCAATACAGCAAAGGAGATATATTCAACAGACAACAAAAACAAAGACTTCCTTCGTGCAGATGTTTGGCGTATACTCAGAAATGAGCCTAAATGAATGATAAGTTACTGCGAATCATTTCATAACAGTGGTGGATGTTCAAAGCGTACAAAAATAATTGAAGATGGTGGTTACTCAAGTTTGTGTCTGACGACACATACTTTTGACAGGGATGACCCAACTCTTTCCACTCGTCCACTTATATAAAAGCAAGTAAGAAGAGGGGAAAACAAGTGCTAAACAAGGGTTTCAATTCAATTCCTATTGAAAACTATAACAGTTTTATGAAAAAAAAAAAAAAAAATCATTGAATTTAGCTCGAATATGGAGCATAAGGCTACAGTAAGATAACAAAGTTTGAACCAACAACCTGAAAAAATAAAAACACTTTTAAAAGCTAAAAGGTTGGACAAAGTGATGATGAAGAATGAAAGGGGAGTAGACAATTATATTTAATTCAGAGCAAGCAAATATTACCTAGAAGGAGATGGATATGTTCATGATGTCAATGACTAAAGGTAATAATCTTACTGAATTTGAAGAGGAGATGAGAAATAAACTGGCATGTGAATGTTTACATATGTTTGCATTTGAATCATTAATAATTTATGTATTTTCAATTACTATATGCATTGTGTGTAATTTTAATTAAGTCATGTAGGTATGTATTTAAATTTATAAATATTTTCATGTATCTTCAATTATTGTCTATATTGTGTATAATTTTAATTAAATCACGTAGTTAAACAAAAATTAAATATTTTAGAAAAATATTCATTAAAAATTTAATATAAACATAGTATATTTAAAATTAACATTATTAAATAAAAATTATAAATATTAAATAAAATTTCTAGGTGCCAAAATAGAAACCTGACACGCAGCGTTTTTTAGATGAATTATTTTTTATGTACACGAGGAATTGTGTCAAAATTAAGAAATATATTATTTTTAATTGAATATGTGACTTTTTTTAACTTTTTGTAATGAGTATTTAAAATATTTTTTTAATTTTGTACTTTTATAAAAAAAAATGGTCTTATTTATTATTTTTTTTTTTAAATTACAATTAAAAAATAAGGTTGAAAAAACAAAATGTATGTTTTAACAAAATAAATTTTTATTGAAATTAATATATAATATATATATATATATTACTAATATTATTAAATACAATAAAAAGGTATAAGAAAATTAACTTTAACCCGCATAAATGGGAAGGACCGTTGAAGTCAAGCTTTGTGTCAAGTCATTTTCTTCAATTTAATAAGAGCATCTGTAATGTAGGGTTTTTAGAGCCTGTACAATGGCCTTTTGCAATTTCTCCCGCGAGTGAATTACGTGTCAAGGCTAGTACTGACATGGCATGCCCAATATACAATAATGGATGGATGGAAGTGAGAGAAAACCCACAATAGCCTTTTTCGATCCATCGCAAAAGTTTATTTTTAGATAAAATAAAATCAAGATTTCTTTCACTCCCACCTTTCTTCTCACTAAAAATTTGCTCGCAGGTCCTAGGGTTCAAACTCGTCATTGTCGGAAACGGAGCCTCGGGTTCAAGAATCTTAATTTCCAGTGAGTGTTGTAGTGTTTTCCCTTCTCGGTAAGTGATTCTTCAATTTTCTTGGATCTTCTCACTTTCTAGACATAATCCTTACACCAAATAATTAGAAAATTAGTTCATGACTCTGGCCAGCCATTTCTCGTTCTTCCTTTAGTGTATGTTTGTAATAACAATTTTGTGGAAGGATTTTAAGGCATATCTTTGCACACATACCTTAGTTTGAAGTAATTTCAATTTTTTCGTAAATAGATTCTTGACAAGTTAGAACACCACATTGATTCGAGATTGGGAAGTTTTGGAGTTCGATTGGTTATGTATTTATTGTTAATTGATAGATTTCAGTGTATATAGATGCACATATAATTACTGTAATCTCTTATTCTTCTTACACTAGTTTTGTTTCAGCATGGGTAGTATGAAAACTGTGAGAATAGTGTTGTCCACATTTCTGCTCGAACATATTCTTATTTTTTTCCTTTGACTGTGGCCAATACGTGTTAGTAGAAAATGGTGGGGAAATTCAATAATCTACAAATTATTTTGTTTGGATACAACAGGAAAATAAGTATCTACTACAAAAATGAGGCCCAGGTGTGTGGGTGGAAGGGAAGGTTCTTTAAATCGTTTGAGGAGTGTAAAAAACCCGGGCAAATGGTACTACCGTGTCATTTATGTGGCAATTGGCTAGGATGGGAGGATGCTGACATAGAACCTTCAGACCGTGAGTCTGATCAAAAGAGGAAAACATCCTTTCATTCTGGGGAGTCTAGTGCCACATCGAGACGCGGTGGGAGGCCTAGTGATTGTTGTCTCTACCCGTCCGGGCCGGAGAAAAGACAGACAACAACTCACATGAGGCTTGAATGCCTTTTGATCGTGAATATTTTAATTTCTGTAGTGATCCTTGTTTATGTGTTCTTATTTTGACTGCAACGTCTATCTACTATAGTGTTATGGCCTTGGTTTCTCGGTGCAGCCATTAAGCCAACGTTGTTTGTATTATACGAAAGCTGTTTGCGGACTATTTAGTGAGTATCGATGTACACTCGTGATGTTTGTTATGAACGTTTTTGCTGGTTTAATGTCTAATGTTGTTAGCACTATCATAGTTGTCTTCAAAGTTGTGGTTTTTTCCAGAGGGTGTGCAAAGGGAAAAGACAAGGAGCAAACAAGAGGATCGTTGCGAACATCCGGAGGGTAAGGTTGGATTTTACAGTCATGCCCCCAACTCAGTAACTCGTTAGTTAGTGTTTTTGCTTTTCCGTACTATTAGTTGGTCGACGTGGTTCTTATAGATGGTAGGAAATCATGCATATGACGATGATCTACATCTCCGTTTTGATGCTACATAATTACAAAATGACATGGCACTTTATGAAACTAATCATTTCTCGTGATATATTTTTCTCCTTAATGGCTTGTCGTCATGAATTGCTTCAGAATAGTGAGAAATGCATTGCAGTTGCTGATCAAACAGGGAACACATTCTCCTTGAGCTTGCAGTTGTTGTCAATGTTTTAAAAGACGTTTTCACCGCACTCAGCATCCATTGGAAATTGATCAGATCTTCTTGTAGCTTCGCATTTGTGCTTGTGTTACGGAGTCTGCTAATTAGTACTCGGTATAGCATGTAGACTTCCTCTACAGACTATGAACTGTACGTAGCACTTTTTTCATCATCGTGAGCTGGCACCCACTCCAGCAGGCTTTGCCCGCGCTCATCTTCTACCACCATATTATGCAGGATAATACACGTTGTCATAACCAGAAGATCTTTTGTTTATTCTAGTCTCACCGGCACGCACAGTACTCTCCACTTTTGCTGGAGTACGCCGAATGCCCTCTCAATGTTCTTCCGACAGGCCTCTTGTAGTGTTGTAAATGTCTGCTCTTTCGCTGTAACAGGATTCCTAATGGCTTGCATTAAGATAGCATGTTTGGGATAAATCTTGTCTATCAAGTAGTAGGGAAGGTTGTACACTGAACCATTAACCTCATACTCTACTGGTGGTGTTGTCCCATTCATGTACTTGTCGAACAATGGCAAGTGGTCCAAAATAGTGACGTCGCTGTTGGTTCCGGGCATCCCGAAGAACGCATGCCTTATCCAAAGATCCTGCGATGCAGCAGCCTCCAAAATTAACGTAAGGTAGTTGTAACGTCCATTATATTGACCTTGCCAGGCAATCGGGTATGCATCCCACCGCCAATGCATACAATCAAATGAGCCTATCATCTCGGAAAACACATGCGCTTTATTTTCAATCAGAATGCGGGATATATCATCAGGCGTGGGATCACGTAAATATTGTTTTTTGTAAACTCGAATGATTGTTTCACAAAACTCCATTGTTGCTCCTCGAACTGAGCTACCTCCAATCTTTATGACTTCGTCTACACTATCAAAACAACACCCATACCCGAACACCCGTATAGCGGCCATCATTTTTTGGAGCGGGGAATGTCCCAGGCGGTTCGTACAATCGGGCCTCTGCGTGAAGTAGCAATTGTTATCGAACACATCTGATAATATCCAAGTAAAAAGCTCACACTGCATCCAAAACCTCTGGCGGAAAAAAAATCTCACGCTGCATCTGAAACCTCCAGTGGAAAAATGATGCAGGAAAACGAAGAGTTTTGGATAAATAGTCCGCCCATAACTCTTCGTGCCTCCCCTCTCGATCTCAGTAAATGTAGCTCATTCGTGTTGGTGCAGTAGCATCGATCACATTTGTAAGCAAAGGTAACGCGCCATGCAAACATTCGAGTTGTTCTCGTTCGAGTAGCCGCAACTGCATCCGTCTCTGTTGTCTTGCATTGGCTCTTTGGCCTTCCGCCGTTCAGAACATTGGCGTCTCATTTTCATGTTCAGATTCTTCTTCTCCATTGTCCATCCGTTTGTCTTATAAAAGTGAATGGCTATGAGGTTGTGGGTATGAGTTCGACACCAATAATGGCTGAGGACATGGATTTGTATTTATAGAGATATGAGGGGGTCAAAAGCCATGATTAATGAACGACTGTTTGTATTTGGTGCTTCTTGCATGTATTGGAAGTTCCTGGAACAAGACAGCTTATTTATTATTTGGGCAAGTATAAAACATTGAATTGTCCACTCGAGTCGACACATCACTGACTCGGTACAGCAACATGCCCTGTACCCGCGTAAATGAACAATAATCAATAGAGAAAGTAATAATCAATAACACTGCAAAACAACATGAAAACTACATTCAACTGCCTGGATATTCAATCGCAACATGCCAAACTTCTCACGGAACTATGATACAATCAAATACGCTAGGGTCCTTTGCGCATGCCATAGTGAACGATTAAACAAACGCTCAAGGAAACAACAAGAGGAGCATCACGTTTAACATATAAGACCCAACTAATTACCAACGAAGACAAGAAACCCAACACAAATATCAGAAAAATACACTAGGAAAAAAACACAATAATACGTCACCATGCCCGTTGGCCCAAGAGACAGTTCCATGTCAAAACTTATTACAAGACCAGTCGACCCAATCAATGGCACGTTGACTAGAAGCTACTTTTATCAAGGGTTTCACGTCTGCCACACTTTTTATCTCCACTCGGGGAGACACTCGACTCACCTACGTCTTTTGTTGGCCTTCTTGTCTCTTGATGGTCGCGATGGCCGCCTTAACACCTGAACAATAGCTATCTGGTTTCACTATATTTTGATTATGTTAAATTAAAATGAAGTAGGGGAACCATTGTTGATCAATACCATTGTGTTCATCCGTGTAGTACTCAAGTTGTTCTCGCCTGATCATGTACTCTTTCCTTGACGATTCGGTTGCCAGCTTCGCCGGATCCAATTCCTCAAACTTAAATAAGGCAACAATCATTTCCCACCAATTTTTGCAAAATCCTTAGTTACTTGCACAATTTCTCGGGCTATCTTGTCAAATGTTGAACTTCATTAGTCCGTACGTTAATGAATCAAATGTTATTGAGTTCCTGCAATGTATTTTAGATGAATTATTGTGTATTTCATGAAACGGAAGTGCCTAATTACCTGTTTACTCGATTGTTCTTCTATCATCTTTTCGCGCCTTGTTTCATTTTTCTCTATCTTAGATCACATTTCCGCTTGCGACGAATCGAGTGCCATGAGACTAGTAGTGATACTATGCGTTGCTGACGCCAACAACTCTCCATGATGTTTGATTTTTCGTTGATGTTGGTTATTAACTTTGTCGTTAGCCTTCATTTTTTAGCCCCCAGTGATCGTTCAATGACACGCGCAGCTGGACCAATCAACAGAGTATGTCTAGGCCTCTTATCCGAGCCCTCAACGTCAACGTGTACACCATTATCAGCAATGTCAACTGGTGTTACGGGTGACTGCTCATAAGATTCCCTTCGCATGAAGCATCGCTCACAACCTCTTTCGTCCTTGTCTATAGTTCGTGGGTCACTCGGCCACGTCTTCCTCTCGGATACAAACTCCATCCACTTCGGCTCATCCTTCAAAATGCGCCAACAAGCCAAACATTTGAAAGTCATCCCATGCTTGTCGTAATAATTCTCCTCGTAATATTTTTCCTGACAAAGTACATGTTTACCAAAGTTACGGGAGGCTACCAACTAAAATTCAATGCACCCTATGTAGGTTTATGTCAACTTACAAAATCGGCGGAACTCCAACCACACCGATACTGCCCTTCTGCTTGCACTCGTACTGCACACCATTTTGAGCATTGTGATTTGATCTCCGTCATTCGATTCTCACAAGCACCCGGGGATATTTTATTTTCAGTTTTGGCATGCCGTGATTCTCTTCCATCAACAAGGAAAAACTCTCACAAACACGCTCCTATAGTTTCTGTCTCTTCTAGCCTACACCTACCCGGGTATCCGTTGTAATATTACACTATGCCCTAGTCAGTTCCACGTCCTTCTCCGTGGTCCAACTCTTGTTTATGCGTTGATTACTCCCCGTTGCTCTACTTGCACGGTTGCAATGACTAGGTGTTTCTGTTAAGAAAAGTCGTCGGCTTGTAGTGAAAGGAGCAGTCCTCGGCTGCGAGAACTAGGTCTCGGGGTGAGGAAGCAACGATGTGCCTCCCGGACCCGAGAAATTCCACATGTTTAAGTAGAACAAAGGTTCACTCTGTTGTGGCATGTACTGCACCTGGGAAAAAGGTCGACCAAAACTCATAGTATAATGGGCTGGGAATGTTGTTTGTTGTTGTGTTGCCATGATTAGAGCGCCTTTGGCATGCTGGGATAGTTGTGAGGTTCGGACTAAACTTTGTTCCATTTCTCATACAGCTCTCCGAGGCCTTTGACTCTATCGCCATCAACTGTAGAATCATCTTCTTCGTGGGACATTATTGAACACACTGCAAGAAGCGGTCCGTGTTCACTACAAAATGGAGGGTAATAATTACTCTAGGGTTGTGCATCATTAACATGAGGTAATGGGACGCATAAATTCCAATCATGTGAATATAAAGAAGCCCTCGAAACACCCCAGCTCTATCAATTACATATAGTCATATACCCGAGTTTTGCACGTATATAAAGACCAAATAAAACAACCACCGAAGAGAAAGGCTCGATGCATATATGAAAACAAATGCTAATGGTTCTACATGTGTGTAACTACAATAAAATCTCTTGCATTCTCGTGCAGACCATAATGTATATGAAACTCGTACATTCGAATACAGATGTTTAGTTAACAACATATATGTCAATAATGTCTTGTAGTTGCAAATCCGCTATAAAGCAGCCGAGATTTTTGCAATGCTATCCAAAAATGTACTATAATACAACAAACAAACATCAGAAAACTGAAAGGGATATCATACCCATACCGAGTACACAATCATGTCATAGACCTTCATTATATTTTGGAACCGATGCAAACTAAAAATGGTCTTTTGAGCCTCAAATCAGGAATTTACAACGTTTATGAAAATTTAGCATAACCTGTGCATGGTGAACCTCTCCTTCATGACTTTCAATTGCAGAATATGAGGATTGACATGTGAAGGGAAGCATAGCAAAAAAATTCATTCTATTCGGCCCGTATATGCTTACAAATACAAATTTGTGTTGAACTGAATTGACTCTGCTATTTTTACAAAATTGAGTCCCTTAAACAATAACTTCGGCCCCTTTAATAGTGAAAATAAAGTGACAAAAAACTTTCAGAGTTAAAACATGTACTATACGTTAGTAAAATACAACCAGAAATCCATACTTCATTCCTAACAAAACCAGAACTACAAGATTGTGATAATGGATGTAATGGCACTTGGATACAGGAAAGATACAACGGTAATTCACCTTTTTTATAATAAATATGGTAATTGTGAATCTTGTTCTTATCTACATTTTAGATGATTTAATTGATTCTCACAACACACTGGATAATGGAGGAATCGACTAAATTCATTGTATGGCTTAACATCAGGTAATTCAAAACCTAGAACACCAAACAAAAAAGAACCTACGTAATATAATTCCCCAACTCTAAAAGCATCTTCTTGATTCACCTTTATTATCGTATACCAATCAATCAATTGCAATACAAACATAAAAAAATATGTTATTTATAATTCCCTTTCTACATAAATGGACAATCGAAATGCCCACAAAAAAACCCTAGTGCAACTATTAACATATTGGCGTCACTCCCACTCCAAAATACAAATTACTTCCCAATTTTCCCACTTTTCTATGAAATCGGTTGTACCACACCAAGAAATTATTATTGGAACTATTTAATTGCAACTTCTCCAAAATTGGTTACCTGTATTCAGCCCTCTTCTGCAGTAACTCTTCGATGGTGGGGATCTGATGATGAAACACGACCGACCGTCAGTCTAGGCTATTTCCTAGACAATGCGAACAAGGGTGACTTCTACATCTACGGGAAGATGAGGAGAGGAAGAAAATAAGGAAGAAAGGGACACTATATAAATTGGATAAGAAGAAAAGGGAAGAGCAAGAGAAAAGAATGAAAATCCACTCCTCATCCTCCTTGATGTGGCTTCACCTGCACCATGTCTCCGTCGATGCGAGATCGAGAATTCAATGTCAAAAACACGGCCATTGCGGTTGATAAAAATAGACTTTCTGACAGGCCCACATCGAAAAAGGCCATCAACCAAGTCTAAATCCGAGCCATTGCACGCACTCTTATCAATATAAAAATCATGCTCGACATTGCCACATCATTAAAATACAAAAAATATGTATATAATAGGTTCTAGGACCTTCTCTCTCCTCCGAGAGAAGGTAGGTTTGTTATTTCTTTTTTTCCTTTTTCTTATTATTTTTATTTTGGTTTTAATTATATTACATAGTATATATAATTAATATTATTTTTATTATTAATATTTTATATTGTAAAAAAAATTATATTAATATATATTTTGTTAAAATAATTAATTTAATATTAATTTTTTTAAACAAATTTTTCTAAAAGAAATATATTCATAATTAATTTATATATTTTATTAACAATTTATAAGTTATATTAACTATATAAAAAATATTATAAAATATATAATATTTATATTAAATAAAATATTAAATTTATTGAAGTGGAAGAAAGAGAATGTAAGAATTTTTATTTAAGTTCTACAATGTGAGGTAAGAACTAAATAAATTTATGATAGATTCTTAAACTGTCGTTGCATATTGCGGTTGAAAGAAAAAAACATAAGAACAGTTCTTATTTATTTGGATTGTGAATAGTCTAAGGGATCCGTTGGGTGGCCTTAGCAAAAAAATTAAAATTTTTTCAAATTCTACTATTTGAATTATGAGGTTTAAAAAGATATGTTTTTCTTCTTCATTCAAAAAATATTTAATTAAATATTAGTTTAATATTGCATCAAAATTAAAAATCTTACAAAATGCACTCTTAATATTTGATATACTAGCTGTGAAAAGATATATAAAGAAAAAAAATTATATTTAATATTTTTTACGTCCTCGTTACGGTGTTTCTTTTATTGTACATATAAAAATTTAAGAAATGTATAATTAGTAAATAATCGATAATATATTAATAAAAATAATTATTGTATTTTAAAATTAATTTTAAATTAAAATTAAAATAATTAATTAGTCTAATTAAAATTAATAAAATTATAAATTAAAAAATTTAAAATAAGATTAAAATACATAAATTTTTTTTAAAAAACAAATAACTCAATAAGTGGAATAGACAAAAATAAAAAAAATGACACCATAATTTTTTTTAACAAATTAGATAATGCCAAATTTCTAAAAGTACCTTGGAAAATAAAGGCTAAATTGCAGTATAAGAAATACTAAAAGCACGAAAGCACACACGTTATTGTGAATGCCATTAATAATTATTGACCTTAAGCAAAAAAGGCCTCCAAATTCCTTGTAGAAGACCCGCTAACACCGTCCACAGCATCTCTAGCCAATCCCTTCCACTTCTCCGCATTCCGCCGCACCTCTCTGCTCTGATCCCCGCCGTCCATCACTGCCTCGATGCACCTCCTTATCTCCTCGCTCTCCACCGTCCGATCCTCCTCCTCATCCTCCTCCACCCTCACTCGCACGCCCGTCCGCCATACCTCCTCAATCAGCTTCGCATTCGTCCCTTGATCCGTCCACTGCGGGAACGCCACCACCGGAACGCCGCACGACACGCTCTCCAACGTCGAATTCCAGCCGCAGTGCGTCACGAAGCATCCCACCGACGGATGCGTCAGAACCTCCAACTGCGAGCACCACGGCACGATCTTCCCCATCTTCTCCAGCTCCGCCAATCGACTCATTGAATTCCCCTCCACGTCGTCCGATCGGATTATCCACAGAAATGGTCGGCCGGAGTCGATCAGAGCTTTTCCGATCTCCTCCACCAGCGGCTTCGTCAGCTTAATCACACTGCCGAACGACACGTAGACAACCGACGATTTGGGCTGGGTGTTCAGCCACTCCAAGTAATTGTTGCTTTTGATTTCAAAAAGATCGCAGCCGAAGGACTTGTCGGTCGAATCCTGACCGTCCAAGAAGGCGGAGGGAATCAACGGCCCGATGGCGATCTGCTCGTAGCCGTGGATGGCTTTGAGTGCTTCTGCTTCCAGCGCGTCGAATGTGTTGACAAGCACTTTCGGCCTTTCCTCGCCGTCCAGCACGTCCACCTGCTCCTTAAATAACGCGAGCGCGAATTTATCCTTCTCCGAGGTTGTCGGGAGAATGAATGATGGAAGGTCTCGTTTTGAGAACGGGGGAAGTCCTCCGGGCAGGTGAAGCCGCCAGGAGGGATCGGCGGAGTTGGAGGTGATCTCGTCTTGGAAACCGTGAAAATAGTAATAGTATAGGTCGAGGACGGTGGCGGGCTGAATCCAGAGCAGCGCGCAGGGGATGTTGCACTCACGCGCCACCTGGGTGGCCCAGGGAAGGAGGAGAGTGTAGACGAGGCGCGTGACGGGGCGGGCGGCGGCAGCTACGGCGTCCCTCAAAGCCTTGGAGCCATTGGTTATGAGATCGGCCATGTGTTTCTGATAACCAATGGAGTCGCGGTCGAAGCCATCTTCGTATCCGTCGGAGAAGAGGGCGAAATTGAGGGCGTCAGGCAATGCCCCGGCGGTGGCGGTGTTGTCCATACAGCGGCGGGCGTGAACGGTGGTGACGAAAGTTACCTGGATGCCGAGGCGGAGGAGGCGCTTGGCGAACTGAAGGGCGGGATTGATGTGGCCCTGTGCGGGGAAGGATATCAGGAGCACGTGGCGGAACTCCATTGGTGGGCGTTTTAGTAGTATAATAAAATGTGTAGATGTTTGAGTCGAGTGGTCGGAATCGGAAAGACTGCGAGGAGGACGACGAGGGTGTAGGAGCGGACAGCTGAGCTGATATGATCCGATAAGATGAGAGGATGAGGTTAGAAACCATGACGTTTGAGGTGACGAATAGAATAGCGAGGAGAGAGACAATTATTTGCACCAATTTTTTATATAATTTAAAAATGGTGAAAAAATTGTTTTTGGTTATAATATAATCAAAATTCATCAATTTTGGTCTCAATATAAAAAATTTATTAATTTTGGTCTAAATATAACCAAAACTCATTATTTTTGTCTCAATATAACCAAAATTCAATATTTTTGGTCCCAAAATAAAATTTTTATCAATTTTAGTCCCAATATAATCAAAACTCATCATTTTTTGTCTAAATATAATCAAACTTTATCTTTTTTTGTCTCACCGTCAACAAACCGACAGAAAATATTGACGTGAAAAGAAATCAAGCCTTATATTTATATATTGAAGAAATTGCACAATCTTGCAAGTCCACGTTAGCATTTTCGTCGGTTTGTTGAAGGTAGGACAAAAAAAAAATAAGGTTTGATTATATTGGGACCAAAAATGATGAGTTTTGGTTATATTGGGACTAAAATTGATATAAAAAAAATTATATTGAGACAAAAAATGATGAGTTTTGGTTTTATTGGGACCAAAATTGATAAGATTGTTATATTATGACCGAAATTAATGAATTTTGATTATATTGGGACCAAAAATAATTTTTTCCCTTAAAAATGTTACGGTCTTCATCCCACATTTTGTTTTTTTTTTTTTTTCATTCATACTTTATGTTGTTTTTACTTTTTTAAAAAAAAAAATTATACTCACTCTATTATAGATCAAATGAGCTATTAAAGAATGACATGTGGTGTGAGCATGAACCCGTAACTTTACCGTAAAGTTATGAGTTCAATTATTTTTATAAATAAACAGGACAAACAAAAAATAGAGTGAGGATAGTATATTTTAATTAAATTCAATAATTTATAATTTTTTAATTTTAATTAAAGGGGTAACTTGGATTAAAATCTCTCAGATGTAAAATAAATTTAAATGCAATTTCTCTGCATTAAGACAAAGCACTGCACTCCCTACTTTTTAAATTTCATTTACACTTCACTCCCTACCATCTATTTTACCCCTAAAATCACAAAATCATGCAACAAATATTTTATATACTTCGGTTAATTTTATATAAACCTACGATATCTATTTACGTACTCCAAAGCTATCCCAATGTACAAATAAGATTTCAAAATAATGTGCTTGGAGTTTTTATTTATATACTGAGATTAGTTACAAAAATTACAAAAAAAAAAAAAAAAACCTAGATATAACTAACGATCTTATATTGTAAATGAGTTAATTTCTTCTAAACATTTCTCTTTCCATTCAATCTGTTACTGTCGAAGCACTCTGCATAAATCATCTCCGTCGAACCTCTCACAAAAACAATTGGATTTCAAAATCATCCTTGAAATGTTGAAAATCTCAAATCCTACTCGAAATATTTTATGGACACCACTGGAAGTATCACTCAGCGTCAAAATCTCAAATTCTACTCAAAATGTCGAAAAGGTTTCTCAAAAATGGAGTTCGAAAAATTAAGTTAAATTTTATATTTTTAGAAGAATCAATATTTTAATTTTGGATTTTTTAGTTCGTAGTGTGCTTTAATATGTTCTTTTTGTGTCTCAGTTGGGTTTGTACAAGCCTTCATGCTGGGACATTTTATTTTTTGCATTGTATCACACCATCGGATCTAATATGAATTATTTTTTGATATATTTTAAATTGTAAATGATTTTTTGAGTATAGAAGTACTTTCATTTATATTTTTATACATTTATATTTGTAGTAAAATGATTGGGGTGTGAGGTGGGCGGAGTTCGTTATTTTCTTCAAATATTGTAGGCATAATTTTCTCTTGCAGAGTGATTTTTTAAGTACCAAAAGTGTTTGACGCTATCTCTATCATGGTGTTGGTTGTATATGTATTTATTTTGTCAATTAGTGAAAACTTTGTTATTGTTCGTGAATACATTTAATTGCATTTGGTGTACCCTGAGCTTTAATTTACATGCTTATTTAAGAATATTACTTACCTTCGCAGTTATGCTTATTCAGTGTTGTGTATACTCATGAAAACATCTATTTGTTTTAAATGATTGCATACCCGAAAAAGAATACAAAAGGCTTACCTCCATATTTGTTCTACTTTTTTTCTATACAGAAATGGCTAAACTTAGAAGTTGGGATGAACAAGAAACAATTGAAAGTTTTGCAACGCATCCCGTTTGGATATTTTCTTGATTGTCCAAAAATGAAGCTATCTTGGCATCGGTTGTGGGGAATCGTCAATATGTTTTACATTGAATCCCGATCATTTAGAATAGAGAGGAAATTGAATTAAAACTTTCTCTTGAAGAATTCTCTAAAGTACTTAGATTATATATAATTGTGGATAATGCATCATTGTTCGTAGTAATTGTATTATAATATTTTTATTATTTATATTATATTAATTAATTTTTTTATGTACCCCTCTACGTAGTATAAACAAGAATTTTCAGTAGTATATCAATCTTGAAGTAGGTACTAGAAAGTAAAAGCAAAAACTTCGTATGACTTGTATGTTATTTGTTATAAATTAGGGAATAGCTGAGATTTGTAGCAGTGACTGCCAAATTGTGATACTTAGCCGTTTGATTATTCCAAATTGGGATACTTAGCCGTTTGATTATTCTAGATTTGTAATTGAATTTTTGTAATGTATACGTCGGTATACATAATAGTATTCCAAAATTTCTAATATGTACTCATGTTCATAAGTTGTACACACGGATCATGTGAGCATATATACAAGAAGAAAATGTGTACCTACATAAGTAATTAATATACTTGATTTGCAAAATTTCAAGGTTGAGTGTCGAAAAACCCTTAAGTTTAAGTCACATACCCTCAATGATGATATGTGTTCTTTTATTTTACTAAATTAAATACTTCTGAATTGATTGAATGTACTCGTAGTGAAAAATAATCTTTATATATAACTTTATACATATTCTAAGTATAATGAGAATATATGTACTCACATAATTATTTTGAAAACACTAGTAGACACATTCAATGTATACATGAATAAGTAATGTGTTCTTCATATTTTGAGAAGGTACAATATGTCACATGCATAACATTACTTCATATATCTTTTAACATATTTCTTCTTGTTAAAAGCTTTTTCCAACTTTCGAAAATGCTTGCACGGACAATCATAATATAAATAATATCATACATCATGAGTTATATATTAACTCCAAAATATCTATTATTATAGTTCACTACATGATATGTTGTGTCATACTTATCTTAAGTAATGTTCTCATTCATCCTTGAATACATAGTTAAGTGATCCTATAAGTCGTTTCAGATTGTTTCAATAGTATTGATTGATAGACATCAATATTCAACGAAATGACAATGATATATTCAACTCATAGCCGTCTAATCTAGCTAAAATCAATTAAATATTTTTGTTAGACACTTAAATACCCGTGTTTATCAAGTTAATACCCACGTGGGCATATAAATACTTTTATACGCAACGATAATGTTTGTTTATTAGACAAGTACACTTCTGATCATATTCAATATACCCCAAGTATGTAAATTCATACTCTTAAAACCATTGTCATAACTTCATATAAATGTTTAAATACTCATCAATAAATTTTATGTTAATGTTAATTCAGGTAAACGAGTGGAGTTTTCTATAGGTCATGAAATACAGATACGATTACATGAGGGACAAAAAGGATACCAAACGCCATTTGGATTTTATAATAAAATATCCATGTAAAATGAAATATAGTCATGATTATATTTCATTACCCACAATAATTTTTAATATATTGCAGCGATTATTTCACATACGTTTGTTTGTTTTTTTTTTTATTTTGGACTGTAAAATCTCTTGTAATATATCAATATCCCACAATTTACCACAAGTATACTCATGTAAAAGAGTTGTATATACCTGGTAAAAATACAAGTAAATATTGTATAATTTTAAAATCATTAAATAGTGAATTCATACAAATATTTGTGTTTAGTATACAATCTATCAAAAATAAAATGAATGTCAATTTTCTTTCTTGTTTCAAGAATAAATTTCCTCCCATTTTCAGCAAAATTATTTTTAATTCTCATCATTTTAGACAAACAACGTTGTGCGGCAATAAGATTTTAATACTATCAAAAGTATACTTCAACAATACCAGGGTATTTACAAAGAAAAGGAATTATAATATTATATAAAACGGGTATGATTACAGGGATCCTATATCAAAAACAAAGTGCTTGTACCATTATCGATAAATGTTTTGTTGTTTTATTCCACTGCCACGGGTTTAGTCCACCTAGAGATGACCATTCCATCTTGTTCATTCTTTTATCCTGAATCGATAAACTTTATGGAACAAACCTGGTAAAATGAAATCGAAAGTAATTAGCAAAAGAAAATTTGAATAGAACCCAAATTAATATTGAATTGAGACAAAATTGAAATAAATCTAAAAGTATATATCAAAGCTTAAAGGCTGAAATAAGATACGCATGCTAAGAAAGTACAAATATATTCTTCTACACACACCTGGGTGTGAAAGTTGTCTATTAGGTGCCAAAAACAGTATGTGTGGTGGCCGGTGGGCTCTGGAAAATACGGTAGAAATGGACTTTAGGAGTCCCAAGTGCCTATTCGAAAAAAAAATATACTATTTCCAATCAATACGACCGTCAACATGACATACTCCAACTTCTAGCAAACATATTACTAATTTTTATTATTTTAAGTGGAAACCGATTTGTAGTAATAAGATTTTAATATTATCAACTATAAAGTACATGAAAAAAATAGTAAAATACATCGATGATTGGTCATAGTATACCTCAACAATACCGAAGTATTTGCAAACAAAAATAGCATACAATATTACATAACACGGGTATAAGATTTATAAATGTAAGGCTACTACCCCAGAAAAAATATTTCATAGGAATTCCTCTTGATACTAGCATAAAATCACAACAACACCCATT